AAAAAAAAACTTTCTATGCTGCAAAATTGCAGCTGGAAAAAAGTGGGACACTTGAGAAACACCCAAAAGAGTTAAAATAGTCCAGTGTCGGGGAAGAGGATTATGTCGTGTTGTAAGTGCTTATGCCACTTGGCAAACGGCTTTAAAACTAGAAAATATACATATGTATGTATGCCAGCGTGGATTTTGCATATCACAATCAATTAAAAGCAGCTGCTAAAATAAACAAATATAAGTCAGACAAATTTCACTAAAGCGGATGTGTAGATTTGGAAACTGGATTATTGGTAACACGTATCCATAGACTGCTTCATGCACTCGAATGTTTACATAAATGAGATTACCTAAACGCTTATGACATCAAAAATTCAGGAATATTGAATTTTCAACACAGGACGCACTGGATACGGGTATGTAAATTACGTATTAATATCTGTATACAATAACTATGATAAATTCTTCATCTCATCTTATTATTTCAAATTTAAATCGATTATATACCTATGTAGCTTCAAGATGATGGAATGTTGAATGCTTAGTCAATTTGGCGACGAAATACATAAGGAAATTATACTTCAGCCCACATCTATCAACTTGATATAAATATGTGCCAGCAACCGACATTGCAAACTTTATATTTATGTATGTATGTACATTAGGGTGGCCCAAAATAAGTAAACTCGGAATTGTAATGCTCTAACCCCTTAGGGTGGTTTATATCGAAAAAATAACCCCTATTTGTTGACCGAATTTGGGCCACGTCAACCGATTTCGTTAATTCTTTTTCTATCGGAAAGGTAGTGTCTCGGAGGTGGTCCCATACTAATTTGGTTTAGACCCGATCATTGGATCATGATGAATTTAACGGTACTTCTAAATTTTTATAGTAGCGTTGAAGTCGGTTGTGTTTGTGCTCACAAATTACTTATTTTATTTTGAAATCAAAAAAAAAAATATTTAGAGGTCGCTCAAATTATTCCATGTACTTTTTTTTATGGGAAAAACTACTTTTCGTAGAAGTGGTATGGAATTCTTGAAAATCAATATTTTCGATCAGAAAACTCTGGTTCTCTTCAGGAGACTTCCAATAACAATACCCAATTGTTTATTTAACCATTTTTTAATACGAAAGGTTTTTTATTTATCTACCCATTGTACTTTTCTGGGTTTTTGGCGGACCAATAAAATATAAATATGTACTATGAAAAAATGGTTAAATAAATAGTTGATTATTATTTTTGGGAATCTCCTGAAGAGAGTTTTCCGATCGAAAAATATTGAGTTTCAAGAATTCTATACCATTTCTACGAAAAGGAGGGTTTTCCCATATTAAATACATGGAAAACTTTGAGCGCTTTGAGCGACCTCTAAATATTTTGTGATTTCAAAATAAAAAATAGGGGTATATTTTTTCGGTATACATAGAACAATCTTAGGGGATGAGGGCATAAAAATTCCGACTTTACTTTTTCACATGCATTTTTGGAGAATCCTAATGTAAATATGTACATGCGTATGTATACAGAATGCCGTGATAAAAACAATCCTTTTTAGGGATAAGTATTCTCTTATGTTGTGTAAAAAATCCATAACGATATGTGAGTTGTCCTTCATATGAAGACAATGTATGGATGTACATACATATGTACATACATGTATTCTCTGTAACTTTACTCGTTCCCATTTTGTTTAGCGATTATGTACCTATAACCAATCTTCCTCTGCAAATGCAAGGAATTATCGTTAATTATTATTTACTTTTGTTAAATGCGGAAAATATAAGTGAAAACCGTAAAGTCTTTTTCCTCACAATGTTAAGTTATGGCGTGCTTCCATCAAAGGAGCGATTTGTATATATGTATGTATTTAAATATGGTTGTATTAAGTGCATAAATATATGAATCTGAGGCAGTTTGATAAAACAACTTATCTCAAAGTAAGCCATTTTCACTTTAAAGCAAAATTTCATTGTGTTATTAAATTATTTTAACGATTTACTAGCCATAGGTGTAACTCAAGATTCTCTTTCAATAAAACCGTAATAAAATATAAATTTTTTAATCTAAAGTCAAACCTTAGGTCACTTATGTCGTTATTGACGCAGATGTAGGGCGCATCGAGCCAAAGCATCAGTATCTCATATCTAAACTATAATTGATGGAAATGTCCAATATGCGCAACCACGGTTAAATGCCTAATTGGAACTTAGTTGCGTAAATAAGGCATTTCGATTAATTACAGTTTGGAAGTAAAAGAGACTGATGCTTTGGCTTGATGCATTTCTGAACACACCCCTCTATACTTCCATACGAATTTGTTATTCCCTTGCAAAGCACATCATAACATGCATGTATGTATGTACATAAGTATGCATGTATGTGTTTAATAGCAACACATTACACCGGCTAAAATTTGTTTATTCAACGACAATTTTTTTATTACACGTTACCGTTTTTGTCCTCCATAGTCTGCACTTTCCTAGACACATAGTTTTGGTTGTGGGTATTCATTATTCAATTATTAATATTCTTTGACTACACCTTAGCCACAACGATTACCGTTGGCCTTTTTAAGACTTTTTCTGAATGTTTGTGTTGTTATTTTCCGGTCATAACTACATGCATGTATTTGTAATGAATGTTCCTACATATATATATATAGAAGAACGTATACATACATACATACATCACCTGAAATGCAAAAGGCCGTAATTAGCAAGGTGTATTTTTTTTTATTTAAATGAGCGATCCTTCCGCTATAATAGTGGCATCTTTATGTACTTTATATCAGGCTCTGTTACGAGAAGAAAGGATTTACATATCGCGCGTTTAGTGATATAGAGAGGTAACTCAAAATTTACTTTTTAGGAGATTTTATTACGCAATTAACAAGCTTGATAAGTAGAATATATTCAATCTAACAGAAAACCAAACTTTCCAAATTTGGTGAAGATATGTGTCTTTCCATCTGTCTTTTTGTATACCAACTGTATGAATTAATAAAACTTTGATTGCGTTTTCCCCCACAGTTGAAATTTAGAAATACTTCGTTATATTATCAAACGTGCGATGCAATGAGCTCAGGAAAATGCTCAAACCTACGTAAATCATGCACATTTAAGATGCATCGTCACCCTTATGCCAGAAGCATGAATGTGCAAATTTATCAGTTTGGAGTTATTGGGTTGCCTTGATTAACCTTTCGATGTTCTATGTTATACCAAAACCCAAAATACCATGCGTACACGGAAACCACTTTTATTGCAATTTGAAGTGCATAAATGTAGAGTTAAGTTTCGTATTTTTTTATTACAAAAACTTTCAATCTTGATTTTCCAAAATTTTATTTTTTGCATATTCATGTTTCTGCACAATTTAAACACATCGTTCAAAGTGAAGCTCAAAAACAACCATTTTCCAGATTTTTTGCCGATTTTGGATTGAGTGTACGTTTTGAAAACATTTTAGGAAATAGTCTTTTAACGCTTATATCTTCGACATTACTTAAGCTAAGAAAATGTTTTTGAACTTCTAAGAAAGTGCGACTGTGCAGTAAAGTGCGAAAGCTACGATTGGAAATTCATGTCCGGGTTGCCCCTTCTTCATACATTCATTTGTGGGTCTTTTCCGAACAAAGTGTACATGACAGGTATTTTTTTATATTTTTACAAGCTTCTTTTTAACTTGCTCTGTATTTATGTATGTAAGTTTAGGAGCAAATCTTGCAATCAATTTTTGACCAGCTTTTCGATGACCTAGAGACTTGAAACTTCCCATTTGGCTCAGAACCCGATTACAACGCAATACGAAAGATGAGTAAATCCGGTAAATGGAGTCGAGATATTTGAAAACCAAGTATTTATAGCCCGATTTTATTCATATTTAGAACGTATATTAACTACATCAAAAGGAATAACTCAACTAAAAATATTGCCAATAGGTGGCGTGTTGTTGATTTTGTTGTTGTTGTAGCAGCATACATGCTCCCCAAAGAGTTTTTGAGTGGGAGTGTTGCTGGAGTGACAGTCCTTGGCAAAAAAAAAAATCTGGGTCGTTCCGGTTACGTAGAAACGACTTCTTATGTCAAGTAAAATAATTGATGTTAATATCACGACATAATTAAAAAAGTGACATTCTGGAAACTTCGGAGGGACAATCTTATAATAGAAAGCCAGGCTTATGCTGATAAAATTTTTCAGGCAAAATTAGAATACATTATAAAAGTTATGGTAGTCATTGACAAACAGTTATGCCTTTTTAATTTTTTTCTTTGTTTAAACTTTTTTTCATGTTGATTATCGAATAACCTGAGCGGGGACAAATATTTTTATATGGAGTAGGTATTTAAACAATAGCATTTTGTTTGAAAATGACCCATGTACATATATTTTAGCTTTAGAAAAAAATTGTTGAGTTCACATATGCAATAACTTTAAAATGAGAGTTTCTTCTCTTACAAAAAAAAAGTTTGCGGGACAAACGTTGTTAGGGAATACATATTCTGCCGAAGTCCACAATAAGATCTGCGTTTTGCTAACTTTAGTCCTGGAACTGCCACGCCCATATCCAGGGGTTTGCCGCCTTAAACAAAACTTTTCTCGATGAAACATTCTTAGATATATAATACATCCATTAAGGCTCTTAACTAAAGCTCATTCGATATATTCAATATGATAATGTTCGGAAGTTTTGAACAAGTTCTCGGAATAATTACCACATCGCAAAATACCGAACGAAAGAACACACACATTTTAGTCAAGGGTTTAGAATTTATTTTAAAAAATAATTTTATAATTTTCGGTCACTAATTTATTAATAACTTGGGTTTGAAATGTCGGCCGCTGTGGTGTAGTGGTAAGCAGTGCGCGCTTTCACTCATCAGCACCTGGGTTCAAGCCCTGGTCAAAGCAACATCGCAAAAAAAATATAGAAAAAGGTTTTTTCTTAACAGCGGTCGTCCCTCGGCAGGCAATGGCAAACCTCCGAGTATATTTCTGCCACGAAAAACAGCTTCTCACAAAAATACAATCGCCGTTCGGAGTCGGCGTAAAACTGTAGGTCCCTCCGCTTTGTGTGACAACATCAAGGCTCACGCCACAAGTCGGAGGAGAAGCTCGGCCAAACACTAACATATGTGTAAGCGCCAATCTATTATTATATTATTATTATTGGGTTTGAAATATGCATTCTTTTGTGAATTTCGGAGTGAGTTCTGCGCCAAAATACTGTGGATCGCTTAACCGAAATTTAACTAATCGCATTCGAAGGCCCCCAAAGCGAAAAGGTGTCCTGTGCAAAAATACTATGGACGGCGTAACCCGAGGTGTCAAAATTCTAATTTTACCTCATTTTCAAATGGTTGCCCAGGGGTCTGTGGAAGCATTCGAGGAGTTAAAAGGTTTGAACTGTTCTCTTTCTAGTGGGTGGGGTATCAAGAACCTCCGCCCAGTAACCCAAAAACAATGGTTTGTGTTTAGTTGGGTTAAATAAATGTGCGAATACTATACCTACATATGTATGTATGTATGTATGAACATTCGTTTAGTATTTATTTACATACAAAGTTGTTGTTGATAAGACTTTATATGCGATAACGATTGGATTTAATTTTGTATGTATGTAGAATTGAAAATGGACTTATCTGTGGAAATAAATAGACTCAGCCATGCACATCAATAAACAGCCGCTTATGTACATATGTGGATCCCTGAAAGGTGTTTTTATAGCATTTCCAGTTTAATTGAAACCATTTTCAAATTAAGCGCAACCTTTTTTAAATTAAATTAAACTATTTCCAGATTAATTGAAACATTCTTAAATTAAGTATCAAACATTACTAAATTAAAAAACAGGAAACCAACTAACCTATTAAGAGCAGTTTGCAACATGCCTGGCTAACATTAACTCACATTAGTATATGCAAAAGTTCTAGAATTTATAAAATATATTTTAAAAAAAAGTTTACAAACCCATTTTTGTTAAATCATCAATCATATGTTAGTATATACAAAAGTTCTAGAATTTATAAAATACATTTAAAAAAAAATGTTTAAAAACCCATTTTTGTTAAATCATCAATCATATATATCATATATGCAAAAGTTCTAGAATTAAATAGTACGCAGTCAATAGTCCTCACTTTACACAGAAAGGAGAATTCTCTTTAGTAATTGTTATACAAATAGTGTGGATAGCGTAGCCGGCGTTGGACGGACCAGGGTAGTTTTTTTTTAAATACTTTGTAAAGTGAGGACTATTGACAGCATACTGAAGTATATCAAATGAAAGCTTGATAAATTTTCTATTTAATTCTAGAACTTTTGCATATATCTAATAAGGTGATTTTAAAAAAATTGGTGGGTAATTTTTTTTTTAAATATATTTTGTACATTAATTCGATTTTTGTGAAAACTGTACAAAGCATATATGTATATCATAAGTACCATAAGTACTTAAAGAGAATTAAATTCTCTATCGAATGATTTTAAAATCCATCAAAACCCCCTTTGAGATATTCTGTATTAAAAAAGTTCTTAATTTGAACTTTGACCTTTAATCACTCTTGTAGTTGTTGCAAATACATACTATACTATGTATGTATTAGCATATGTACATTATACTGCATCACTTCCCATAAAAAAAAATCGGTACTGTAATTCCATTGGAATTATAAAATCTATTATATTTCGAAAAAGTATTAAGATTTACGTGAGCTGGACCGACTTGAAAATACTTCCAAAAATAGAGCTTTTTATGAATAAAAACAGTTTCTTAAATAATTAAAAAAAACTCCCCTTAGATAGCAAAATATTTTAAGCTTAAAAAATCTGTATAAAAACATTAAAAACAAAAAAAATCGACGGAATCGTAATAATAAGATTTTTAATGTTGTTTTTTTTTACCTTTTCAAAGATTGGTATAAGAAAACCTTGAATAATTGGATTCTGATTTAAACTTATGAGGTATCATTGCAAACTAACTCATTAAAAGTATGAAAGAGAAAGGTGGGATGAACGAGCATCATTCCAAGAGTTGAATTAAGATGGGTCGGTAATTGAAAAAAAAAAATAAATAAATAAATAAATAAATTTGGAACGTGAATGATTTTGTTTTGCAAGGAAATAAAAATAGTGGGGAAAATGCCTTTCCACTGATATCTCATAAGTCTAAATCGGAATAGTTTTAGCCCAGCTATTCAAGTTTTTCTTAAACCAATCTTTGAAAAAAGTTAAAAAAAACACAACATCAAAAATCTCATTAAATATTACGATTCTGTTGAAAGCATTTTTAAATATTTTTATGCAGATTTTTTAAGCTTAAACTATTTTGTCATCTGAGGGGGCTTGTTCCAAAAAGTTCTTTAAGAAACTATTTTTATTCATAAAAAACTCCATTTTTGGATATATTTTAAAATCGGTCCCGCTCACGTAAAACTTAATATTTTTCCGAAATACTTTGGTGGACGTCTGCAAATGTAATACATTTTGTAATCCCGGCGGAAAAACCACAACTTTTTTGGTGATGCAGTTCAATGCAATACTTAATGTACTTAATAATAATACTTAAGAATGGAAAATGCAATTGGTTTGCCAGCAGTAGACTAGTATCATTTCAATCGCTGGATAGTAGTTAAAAGATGTGGGCAAGTTTCATTTTCAGTGGGAAATTAAATCATATCAAGCGTTAGCTTTTAAATGTAATACAAATTTCTTAATCCATAAATGCCGTATGGATATGTTTGTAATTATTCATACCCTTCTGGAAAAATAAAATATTTAAAAAATAGTTGCCCGTATAGTAAAAAATTCGCTGTACCTAAACTTTATTGACTGACTGTATATTTTTTTAATTTCCAACAATTAAATTAATTGAAGAATAGTAACAATATAATCAGACCTTAGTTGCTTTAACAGTATAAAACCTGTTGTGGCAATATGTAGCATAAAAAGTTTTCGTTTATGCTGTTGTAGCCGAGGAATAAAACTGAGTCCTTCCGTCGTCAACGTACTAGTACAAAATCTGTCAATTAGCCGGTTGTACATTATTAACTTTATCCAGAAAAACTCGATCAAGAATCATAACTCTTCAATACCCCCAATTATAAAACTTTAACAACAACAGTGTATTATTAAGTTTAATGTTCTTGTTCAAATTTGTTAATAAAATTTCAACATTTTTTATTTAATTTTCAGCAATACAACCACACTAACTTTCAAGTGAACTACACTGGCGGTAAAGTGTGACGAAGCAGTGACAAATTTGAAAATATGCGATTCAATAAGTCTGGTTTAACTGCATTAGCCTCAAATCCAGCAACGAAATTTGAGAAGGAAGGACTATTAATTGTCACCGAACGTCAAGAGGGCTTCTTTCGTCGTGCCGATGGTAAGAGTAAAAAAGTTTGTAAAAATATTTGAATTTTGGGATAAAACGTGGACATTATTTTTGTTTTACTAAAAGAAATGTTACAGCAGCTAGGTGCATATGTACATACCCTGAAATGAAAATTCAAACAAACATTCTAGCAGCTAACTTAATTAACCGGCATCAGCAAAAACTCACTTGTTATGCGATTAGCGATAACTGCCTTTAAATTGTAGGAGGTTAGTATAGTAATTCTACTGGTTGATGCTGATAACATTGCCGGGCAATTAACATTTCGTTGGATATCTCCATGTTAAAATTATTAGTTGCTAGATTGAAAAAAATACAATACCTACTAGTTGAGCTAGATGGATAAACTATTTAATTTAAGCTAAAATCAAAGTGGTTTTACACAACTAGTAGCTTTATCTGCCGGGTAGGTTTATAGGCCATCATGCAGTGCAATCCCAAAAACTATAGGTTGATATGTAAAAATAAAATTATGTATTTTTATGCTAAAATATGTATGTATAAGTATTTCTACTAAAAACTAAGCAGAACCCCAAAATGCCAAATGACTTCGTATCGACGTCGTTTCCGACTCGGTCTGGTGAATAATTTGTTCGCCAGCGACGTTCGCCAACAGTTGGCCGGCGAACCGCAAAAACGATATACTAGCGAAGTGCAAAACGATGCTCAAAATCTTTAACAAAAGCCTTATAAGTCCAATTTCAAATTGTGTGCAATATTAAAAAAAAAAAATAGTTCAATTAAAAGAAAATATATAAAGCACTTTTGTAGCTCATTAAAGTAAAAATTGTGTATGGAAAAAATGAATCTGATTTGACGTCGTTTGGAGTGCACCCAAACGACTTCCACAGCAGGCCTGCCGACTTGGCTCAAACCGTGCCATTTTTGGCCCTGTTTTGCTTCAAATGGCCCTTAATTTTTAAATTTAGCACAAAGTGCCAAAAGTGGTACTTTTGAAAAATAGTAATATGTATTTCAATCAATTTTTGTGAAATCATTTACGTGTAATTCTTTATCTCAACTCAATTTTTCTACTTTCTAAAGTGTATACAACTGGTTTATCTAATTTTGGCATTGCACTTTTCTTTGAGAAATATGGTTCTTATTTTATTCTAAATGGCACTTTTTTATCCCCATGGCTAAGAATAGTTGGCAGCCGACGTCGTAACAACTTCTACTCGATGGGAAAAAACGAAGTCGGAACGACGTTGCGATTTGTATGGAAAAACCGACTTCGTTTCGACGTTGTTTCGAGTTCATCCAAACGACTTCAACAGACCGACATCGTAACGACCTCGATTCGAACTCGTTGTCACTCTGTGGCCAACTGGGACTTTTCGAATTCTTCAATTGGAATCTTTTATTAGATTAAATAAACGATCAAGGCATATTGTATTTTTAACCGATTTTTATTTTTATTTTTTATGTATGTTACCGCATACCTTTGGGCCACGTTAACCAATTGCGATCGGAAAGATGGCACCTCGAGGGCGGTCCCATACTAATTTTGTTTAGTTACGATAATTGGATCGCGAAGAAATTAACGTTAATCTTAAATTTTTATATGAGAATTGAAGACGGTTTTGTTTTTTGCTTAAAAATTACTTGTTGATTTATTGGATTCATGTATGTATGTATATTTAATGAAACTCATTATGTCAAAATGCACGAATTCGGGGATAATTTTGACTTCAATTACTATACAATATGTTATTATCAGTCTGTAGATATGATTCTCCATACATATGTACGTACATACGTACAACCACATGTATATTTTATGTACATATTTATATGCACGCTTATATATGTATTTATATTTTTTTCAGTTTGCGGATCTTTAAATATGTAAAACAATCCTTTCATTATCCTGATACCATTTTTAATAGTTAAAATATATGAATACTTCCTATACGCTCATTATTTTAACCATCATTTATTTTTTCTCATATTTAACAGGGCAACAAATTCCACATATAAACGAATTCTTTTACACAAAAACCATGTTATATTCTTTGTAACATTTAAAAAATATAGGTAAAGAAAGTATTTTTATCACACCTAAAGCACACTATACTATAATTCATAAAAACGCACACAAAAATACCTACGTGCATACATAAGTGTGGTGTAAAGCTACATATCCATTCTTGCGCTGCACTATTGATCGGTATATTGATTTAACCTTACACTAAATACTCACTTTCTCACATACATATTTAAAGGGAAATTTTGGTGTCGGTTTGTAAAATAGTTTACCTTTACTTAAATTACACAAGTTTACAAAAAAAAAAGTGTATGCATTTAAACCAAACGTGAATGCGAATCCGAGGCCCTTAGCTTCCATCACGTCAGGTTCGTGGTCAAGTAGGGAAAACTTCATTGAATAAACCCGAAAATTTAGTAAAATTCTCCTGAAGTTCGACCCTCGCATGACCTTGTACTTGAGGAATAAAGGGACGACCCCCATATTCGGATTCAGCGACTACAAAAACAATTTTTTTTTATATTTTTATTAAATATAAATTTTTTGTCCTATTTCACCCTCAAATGTCCTCGAAGCTGACATTATGGCGGCCAACGGAACTCGAATTCGGGTTCAGCGAATCTAAAACGCCATATATATGCATTTTCAGGTTTATTCAATGAATTTTTCCCTACTTGTCCTTCAACTGACCACGCAACTGACGTGATGGAGGCAGAGCCGGATTTAAGCATAGGCTACATAGGCGCTAATCTAGGGGCCCGCGCCACATGAAAAATTAAAAAAATTATATTAAGAAAGAAAAAAGTGAAAAAAGTAAGCAAAGTCATTTCGTGTACACGGCGGCTAGGCATTGTGATTACAAATTTGAAGGGTTACTTTCATTAACTTTTGTACTTTCTATGAGTATAAAGGCCGGCCTACATAAAATTTTCGCGTCGACTTGATGTTCGCCTCGCTCGTCAAAATAGTGAATTTGTCAACATTCAACTTTTCAATAAAAAAACGTAGTTTAACTTTTTTTAATTAAAATAAGTACATAATTTATAAAAAGCATAAATAAAGTAAATATTAAAAAACGGTGGCTGTCGTGCAAGTTTTAGAGAATTGAAGCGCATCTAAAGTTTTGTAGCGGTTCATGGCGCAATAAGCAAGTGAATTAATAAAACAGCTTTCACGCATTATTTTCTGTCATTCGGCTATCGTATGCAAAATTTTAAAGACAAATTTTCAAATAAGATATTGTCAAATCAGTATAACAGGGCAGTTCTGGCAGCTGTCTTTCAACTCGACTTGTCTTTCGTAAGACAATTGTCAACTATCTTGAAAGCTCGTTACTGTCTTTTGAAAGATCTGCTAACGAGGAGGCCTTAGCGTTATGCTGTTCGCCTTTTACCTAATTTTTATGTAAATTGAAAATTATTTCAGACCGTAATTAAATTTATATGCACTAAAAAAAGAGGTGGCAGATATACTGTATGACTATTCTGCTTATGAAGATTTTAGCCCATGTGAGAGCACCAATGAGCATTTTCTTGATGCTGAAAACATAAGCCACTACTGCAGAAGATGAAAGAAATGTTTCCTTTTCTGAATTTGACGACGAAGAAGAAGCTGCCGATAACATAAATGCGAATATGGATCAGGAAGAATAGTCATGCGATAATTACGCGAGTGAAGCACCGGCCGTTGCCACCTGCACTAATCCCACAGAAGACGTCAACTTCGATCCCAAGTTTCATATGCCTTTAAAAAGGGATCCCCAAGTTTTGGTAACTGATCCTCAAGGTCCTACCGAGTTCAATGTTTATATACATACGATTTCAATGTATACACTGGATGGATTCAAGGGAGTACTTGTTGTGTCTAATTGTCACAAACCGATAATAGCAGATGTCGACAGAAAACAGAAGGACGGTAGAAAGAGAAAATGTGCCTGCCCCGATGCTATGGACGGCGTAGACTTGGCTGATCAGAAATCAGCGGCGTACGATATCAACCGAATATCTCAGAAATAGTGGGAAAAAATATTTGTCAAAATTTAAGAATTTTAAGACTCGTTGAATATAGGCGATCATTTATCAATAAAGGGGGCCTCTCGACAACGTTGCGTACGGCGCTACAAAAAGAAACGAGAACAAATTATGTTTTAGCCACTTGAAACTTGCAATTTATCCTACTACCAAAACCAAAAAGAAATTTACTTTGTTTAAAATGTACAAAGTCTGAAGGGAAACCGTGTCCCGCCGTTTGCCTTAGTACTCCCAGGGGGGCCCGCACCACGGAAAGAGCCTAGGGCCCATGGATCCTAAATCCGGCACTGGATGGAGGCTAACGGACCTCGGATTCGCATTCAGCGTGTCGAGTAACATAGGGATATATACATAGGTTTGGTTTAATATGCATAACTGTTTTTTTTTTTGTAAACCTGTGTTATTGTGCTTCCATCACATTTAAGCTCTAATAGACTTTTCAAAAAACACTGCATTGCTTCAACAAAAAAATCGCACGGCAATTTTACAGTTGAATATACATATGTATGTATTCCTCTTTTTTCACCCTTTTAGTGAACTATCCGCGTTGGTGTAAACTACGTGGCAATTTGCTGTTCTATTTAAAAGATCACGATCCACAATCACCACCTTCTGGGCTGCTGGTGCTTGAAAATTGTCGACCATTGATACGCAACGAAGAGCGGGAATTTGATGGTTTTTCTTTCATTCTAGGTAAGTGCGATTTATACCTTAAATTAAATGCGCTGTGGTTAATGGTAAGATTTTTACATAAACAATTTTTAGAATTCGAAGGTAGCAGTTCACAGCGCATTTCCACACGTACCGCCAAAGAGCGCTTGGAGTGGGTAAAGTGCATTCAATTGGCCTCGTATGCATATCTAGATCGTCAAATTAAATATCTCCAAGACCAAATTGCCATTAAAATGGGCAATCACATCGAGCGTGGTGTACCACCTACGGTTGCAGCTAGTGATGCACTGCTATTTAATGCTGGCCGCGCTGGTGGTGGTGTAGCTGCAACAATACATAACACAGCAACGGTCAAAGTGGAAGAAGGTGATCTTATACAATTTTAAGAATATTTTGTTTATAGCAATGTAATAGTTTTTAATTGCTTTATAGTAGTTTATACAATTAACTTGCATATGTAAATATTGAGTTAAATTTAAGATCTCGTAGAAAAAGGGAGATTAAATATTTATTTGGAACTAATCGTAGTTTCAAATGAAAAAAAAACATATTTTTTGGCCCCGCAGTTAATCCTTTTTAATACACTTAATTGAAATAACTGAGATAATTTAAATCTGAGCCAAGAGAAGGTCGTGAACTTAGCATTGAACTTATAAATGGAATTTTTAATATAGATCTAATTGCACTACCTAACCCCTATAAGCTTGTAAATATAAACATACTTTCCTAAATATTTGGATTATAAGCTTGAAATTCTTGTCTTTTTACGCATAACTTAGTCTAGGAATTACAAAAAATGCCCATAGTGAACTTGGGTATTGAAGCACAGGGGAAAACAAATAATTTTAACACAGGAAGTTATTTCGAGGAAAAAACCTTTTTCAGAAGAAAAAAATATGCCAAGTACTAATTACGACGTTATATAAGATTTTTTAAGGACTTTGAAATATCCCACTATTAAAAAACCAAAAATATGGATTTATAATTTAGTTTTTCTTATTTTATTTTTAATATATGTACTTGTGCGTGTATTTTATTTTATAACAGCCAGTTTCGCCAGAAATTTACAGACAAATTATTTTTTTATTTGAATTTTCTATGAAAACTGACGGAAGGGAAACATCATTTTTGGCTTATATAAATTGTTGACTTCATGTAGCGAAATAATTTTATGATGGAAAAAATGGCGTAAAGTTGCCAACCGTTGAGCTGAGTGGAACTACTCAACTGTGCGTTTCTGAAACAAACACTCAACAGTTCAGCAACAGCTACGTCTTAGAAACGCGCCCATTGTTGGGAGAATTTTTAGCGGACAGAAAACATGCTTTTTATGTCGAACAGACTTTTTATTTGGCATCAGAGCCACCAACGGCTCCATTTTTTGCAAATCCTATGTCTTATTACGTTTCAACTAAACATGCCATAAGAAAGATTTTGAAATTTTAATTTTTTTCTGGAAACACCCATATATAGATAGAAATTAATACAGGTAAAGATAGTCGAGTAGTAGAGATTATGTTGGTGTACCCATTGCTCAGGCATTTTGTCTCTATAAGAATGATTTTTGTAGTTCAAATTTTAATTCCAATTATTACTTGCTTGCAATCCCTGAATTTTTGTATTAATGACAGCAAAATTAGACCCGTTATTAACTTTAATTTTTACGAAGTCTTAACATTTTTTTCAACATAATCGAATTAAGATTATGTGCTAAGCACAATTTAACTCAGAACTTCTCTTAGTTGAACTTTGGTTTTGGTTTATTATACTTTTGTTTTTGTAAATTTTGTAACTACATTAGCCATCAGCCAATAAAAGCCATCGCATGCATTTCTTCTACCCATTTCGATTGTAAGAATCAATTTATCTGTAACTAGTTGTATAATACCTATTTTAATACCAAGAAATTAATAAGTAAGTCGCTTTAATAAAAATCAAATACTAAAGCAAATAAATTGTTTTTGCCTTTA